CCATTTCTTTGTAATGGCTTTTTCATTCCACATATATTTTCACTTGCTTTGTTAATACAGTCTGGTAAAATCCACATATTAAAAGTGTGTCTTAGTTTGTTAAGAGTCAATGTTTTGTGTAAAGTTTGGTTTAAGTTAGCTTATAATCAGCTTACAACCATTTTTGTTATATTTTGTTTATTATTCCCATTATCAACCCATGGATCTATTATATTAACTGGATAGGGTATTACTAGCTTGGAGCTGAAGAACCCATGTGCTCAGGGGATTCTCGCGGTACTGCAGACTAGACCAGACTAAATTCACGTGGGCTACCCAGAAATTTTCCCCATAGAACTCAATGTAAATTAAAACAGCTCGACCTCAGCTGACAGGGAACCTACAGCTTTCATAAAGGTCGGATTTTGTGGGGATTTTAGTGTCCCTTCTCATCCTGAACTTTTTTCCTTCTTAAATCCTTCGGTTTTCTTTAAATCCACACTTTAGTGCCACAAACTCTGCCCGTCTGGCTCTCGCTTTAACTCCCGCTCTGATGAACTGCTCTGATTGGTCAGAGCGCCGCCGAGCCCCTTTGTGCACGTGCGTGAGACCCGGTGTGAGACCCACACACCGGGTCCCATAATGGCGCAACGCATTATGGGAGATCATCCACTGCGCAGAACCGGGAGGACCAGACAATGCTCAAATACAGGCGAGTTTCCCATGGATCTTTGCGAGTTTCTCATAGATCTTTAAAAGTTCCAGGCAAAAAAACCCTGCTCTACTAATGCCACTGTTTCTTAATTGCCACTTTTATTGTCCATAATATATCCTGCATTTAACATGTTTGCACGCTTCTTTCTTTGCACACAATTTTTTCTCTTGAGTGATTCTATCCATGCCAGATGTGAAATGTAAATTTCTCCTGTGTGAGAGCATTAAATTCTATCTTATCTTATTTTAATTGCTTCTACTATTTGTAAATGTCCTAGAAAGGGGAGCAGGCTCCATCTATCCAAATCCGTTTTAATTTTAGCAATAAGTGGATTGTTTATTGACTTATTGAAGTTTGTATGTCCTTTGAAATATTTATTTCCAAGTATGTTATGGAGTCCATGTTCCAATTGATTTTAAATAGTTTCTTTAAAGGGATGTTCTGGGGTGTAGTTGGACGTCAATACTAGTGATTTATAAGAATTTAATCTACAGCCTGAGATTTTGCTGAATTCCATTAAAACTATGCAGTTCAGGGAAAGATTCGGTGGGTTTAGCCAAGTAAACTAGGACATTATCAGCAAACAGGGCAATCCTTTAATGCCTTTTATATTTCTAGTTGGCCTGATACATTGTGCCAAGGGCTCAATAAAAATGGCAAATCACATTGGACATAAAAGACAGCCCTACCTACAACCTTGTTCAATATTTAGAGGATTTTATGGACTTCCATTTATTATAATTTCCCCTATAGGTTTACTACAGTGCCTTGCAAAAGTATTCACTCTGGCTGTTTACCTATTTTGTTACATTACAGCCTTTAGTTCAATGTTTTTTAATCTGAATTTCATGTGATGGATCAGAAAACAATAGTCTAAGTTGGTGAAGTGAATTGAGAAAAATATATACATAAAACTATTTTCTCAGAAATAAAAAACTGGAAATTAGCATGTGCATATGTATTCACCCCCTTTGTTATGAAGCGCATAAAAAGCTCTGGTGCAACCAATTACCTTCAGAAGTCACATAATTAGTGAAATGATGTCCCCCTGTGGGCACATGATCTGTCAGTACATATACACACCTTTTTTGAAAGGCCTCAGAGGCTGCAACACCTAAGCAAGAGGCACCACTAACCAAACACTGCCATGGAGACCAAGGAACTCTCCAAACAAGTAAGGGACAGTGTTGTTGAGAAGTACAAGTCAGGGTTAGGTTGTAAAAAAATATCCAAATCTTGGATCCCCAGGAGCACTATCAAATCTATCATAACCAAATGGAAAGAACATGGCAAAACAGCAAACCTGCCAAGAGACGGCCGCCCACCAAAGCTCACGGACCGAGCAAGGAGGGCATTAATCAGAGAGGCAGCACAGAGACCTAAGGTAACCCTGGAGGAGCTGCAGAGTTCCACAGCAGAGACTGGAGTATCTGTACATAGGACGACAATAAGCCGTATGCTCCATAGAGTTGGGCTTTATGGCAGAGTGGCCAGAAAAAAGCCATTACTTTCAGCAAAAAACAAAATGGCACGTTTTGAGTTTGCGAAAAGGCATGTGGGAGACTCCCAAAATGTATGGAGGAAGGTGCTCTGGTCTGAGACTAAAATTGAACTTTTCTGCCATCAAGGAAAACGCTATGTCTGGTGCAAACCCAAAACATCACATCACCCAAAGAACACCATCCCCACAGTGAAACATGGTGGTGGAAGCATCATGCTGTGGGGATGTTTTTCTGCAGCCGTGACTGGGAAACTGGTCAGAGTTGAGGGAAAGATGGATGGTGCTAAATACAGGGATATTCATGAGCAAAACCTGTACCACTCTGTGCGTGATTTGAGGTTAGGACGGAGGTTCACCTTCCAGCAGGACAATGACCCCAAACATACTGCTAAAGCAACACTTCAGTGGTTTAGGGGGAAACATGTAAATGTGTTGGAATGGCCTAGTCAAAGCCCAGACCTCAATCCAATAGAAAATATGTGGTCAGACTTAAAGATTGCTGTTCACAAGCGCAAACCATCCAACTTGAAGGAGCTGGAGCAGTTTTTCAAAGCGGAATTGGCAAACATCCCAGTGGTAAGATGTGGCAAGCTCATAGAGACTTATCCAAAGCGACTTGGAGCAGTGATTGCCGCAAAAGGTGGCTCTACAAAGTATTGACTTTAGGGGGGTGAATAGTTATGCAAATTGATCTTTTATGTTATTTTGTCCTATTTGTTGTTTGCTTCACTATAAAAAAAGGCAACATCTTCAAAGTTGTGGGCATGTTCTGTAAATTAACTGATGCAAATTCTTGAACAATCCATGTTAATTCCAGGTTGTGAGGCAACAAAACACACAAAATGCCAAGGGGGGTGAATACTTTTGTATTAAAACTATAAATATATTAGTAAAGTTAAATTTGGAAAGCCCAGGTTACGGTCCAATGCTTTTTGTGCATCCAGACCCCAAAACGCAGCTGGGTTTTCATTATTCTGTATTTGATGAATCACATGTAGTGTGCGTCTTATAATATCTCTAGTTTATTATGTCCAGGAGAATATGTTCCAGTCTTTTGGCCAAGATGGAGGTGAAAATCTTATAATCCTGATTCAGTAAACAAATGGGTCTGAAATTTGAGCAGTCCAGTTTGTCTTAACCATCTTTCGGGATAACTGTGATAATGGTCTCTTTCCAAGTCTGTGGGATTTGACCCCTGTTCAAAACCCAGTTAAATGTTTTGAGGAGTAGAGGCGACAGTTCTTCCAGGAATATCTTGTACCAGTCAGCATTGTAGCCGTCGTAACCTGGAGATTTGTTCAATTTGAGCTTTTTAACTGCTTTTTCCTGTTCCTGAGCAGTTATATTCCTTGTTGAAGTTTTATTTTTAATAATAATGCATCGGTTTTATATAGCGCTTTTTTGGACACAACGGCAGTTTGGCACTTTACAGCCGCAGCCGCCCCACTGTGGCTGGTGTTCCCAGAGGTTAAGTGTCTTGCCAAGGACACAACGACAGTAGTCAGTGGGAGTCGATGGTGAAAGTCTTGAGCGGGGCTTGAACCCACGACCTTCTGGCTCAAAGGCCAACGCTCTACCAACTGAGCTACTGCCGCCTCTTTTGTTCACTAGAGAGCATAGGCAATTCCAATTGGTTTAACATTGGTGAGATCTTATCTTCCTTATCTTGGCTTCATTAAACTATAATACTTTCCGATAATATCCAACAAACATTTCTCAAATTTAATACTCTTTGTATGTGACTTTAATAGTAAAGGGATCCTTTATTTTGTATACAGACCTCTCTGCTTGTTGTTTTTTAAGCCTGTAGGCCAGGACCTTTGTAGATTTACTTCCTGCTTCATAATAGCTCTGTTTTAGATGAAGTAGTTGAATTTAATTTTATTCTCTAATACTTGAATGATTTCATGTTAGTTTCTTTCATTTTTTGTGTTTTTCTTCCAAGTTGATAAGTTATTTTCGGAGTGCCCTTCACAATCAATTTACCCCTCAAGACCGCTTTACAGGCATCCCACAATATTTCATTATCATTGTCTCCAATGTACAATTTGATGTCATTTTTTTATTTCTTGATATCCCCTTTAAGAGGTCCATTGATCCAAAGCAGCACTCCCTCACTCGCCCCCCCTGGTCTTGAATAGGAATGATGTGTTGCAGAATAAAATGTATAATCCCTCTGATAGGGGTGTAGTTCACGCCACTCATCTCCTATTCCTAATTCCTTCATTCACTTTTTCAAAATTTTCCCAATATTAGTGTTTGTCTGTGTGGAAGAGTCTTCTAAAGGGTTCAGTCTCACATTAAAATCTGCACCACAAACAACACCTTGTAGGGGGTTTAAACCGTTGAATAAAGTTAAGTCTGCACAGATGTGTGCGTGATTCTAAGAATGAATTAATTAGACCCAGTTTAAGAGAGAGAAGGATTTACTTGTCTTGGAATAAGCGGGACACCAGTCTAAACAGACAATAGGGCCTAACTAAAACATGTTTCTTTTGTTGTGTGTTAGTCTCATAATAATAATAGGCAATTTTGACGAACAGGACATACAGCAATGTACAATTTAGTGATTACAAACGTGAAATGTGGTGAAGCTGAGATCACAATTCAATTACCCTTGAGTTGGATCTTTACCACAACCAAGCATAGCCAAAGTTTGTATTACTATGAGTTGAGCCAGAGGTTCGTGAGGGACGTCCCGTTAGGAGCACGTAGAATTCAAAACCTCCCGGGGGCGTCCGTCAACAGAGGGCTTCTTGTAAGAGTGTGTTGAAACATAGTGCCTTTGACATTTGTAAAAAGACCATGATGACCCCGGCGGTGAATTGGCGTAATAGTACGTCAACTCAATTTACGTTGTTTTTCACTCTTTTCTTCTCCGTCCGTGTCCCCTGTATCAATTTGGAATATTCAAAAAAAAAAAGGAAGAAAGGGGGGAATCTATACTTTGCTCACCAGAAGTCATGGAGTCTTTTTAAAGTTTAGCAAAGAGGATTGGCCAATCTGTGAGGATCAGAGCTGCGCTTCCCCCTGCTATCCTGTGAAATATAAAAAGGCCATATTTGTTGTACTGTTGTGGCTAGATTGTGACTTAAACCTGTATTGTCTTTTTGTTGTTTAGCTCAAAGCTGTGCACGAGCAGCTAGCAGCACTCTCCCAGCCCCCGAGCAGCAAACCCAAGAAAAAAGACCGCGACAAAAAGGAGAAGAAAAAGGACAAGCATAAGAAGAGGCTGAGTATGGAGTTGGTCCCAGTTCCCACCAAGAAGAGCCGCAGCAACAAGGAGCATTCTGGAGCGCGCAAAGAGAAGAAAAGGCTCCGGTCAGTGCATGTCATATAGATATTTTATAGATCCACAGCAATGACGTGCAGTCAGGGGAGGCAGAGACTGACCTGCCATCATTGAAAAAATATATATATTTTAGTGGTAATTTATAATTGTTGTGCTTTAAATGTATTTTCGGGACACGGTTCCGACCAGTTTTGATTATTTTAGGAGTCAAAATCGCTGAAATCAAACAGACGAGGTGAGGCAGCGCACATAGGCATCTCACCCCAGATCGCTTGCTCCTTCACAGTGAACTGTGAGCTCACTCAGCTCGTGCTGGTTGATATATCGCTGTTTGTTTACAAATGTTTTCAATGTATGCACATATGTGTGTACTATTTGTATTTTGTTTAAGTTTTTTGATCTGAGAAGAATACACAAGGAAAAAGCCTGCCTTGTGCCAGGCAGTATCTGTGCCTCATTGATAGGGGCGATAGTGAGCATGAATTTCATACCCGAGTTACCTAACTATCGGTCCTATCAGGACTATCTTTTTAGCTGGAAAATTGATTATTTGATTTTTTTCTCAACTGGACCTTCAATCAAAGCAAGAAATCTCTCAGTCTCTAAGTCCAGACCGAGTGACCGCCTCTGGACTTACGAGGTTAGTCCGGCTGCGGGGGAGGAATTTGTCAGTCTGTGTTTTTTGTTGAAAATTGACTGAAAAGCGCCTCCCTGAAAAACACAGATTCAAACACGGCTCAAAAGTTCTGCAACTCATTTCATTATTGTTTATGTTCCTCGCGTCTCTTTCCCTCCTCACATGTCTCCCTTTCTCTCCCTCCTTGCGTCTCTCCCTTTCTCACCCTCCCTGCATCTCTCTTCTTGCGTCTCTCCCTCCTCACGTCTCTCCCTCCTTGCGTCTCTCCCTTTCTCTCTCTTCTCGCATCTCTCCCTCCTCGTGTCTATCCCTCCTCGCGTCTCTCCCTCCTTGCGTCTCTCCCTCCTTGCGTCTCTCCCTTTCTCTCTCTCCCTTTTTCCTCCTCCTTGCGTGTCTCCCTTTTTCCTCCTCCTTGCGTCTCTCCCTTTCTCTCTCTCTCTCTCGCTTCCTTTTTTTTTTTTTTTTTCCTTGCGTCTTTCTCTCTCCTCGCGTCTCTCTCGCCTCGCGTCTCTCTCACCTGTGCTTCTCAAAGATGTTGTTTGATGCAAAGCAGAGTCAGCATCTACAGTGGGGCAAAAAAGTATTTAGTCAGCCACCAATTGTGCAAGTTCTCCCACTTAAAATGATGACAGAGGTCTGTAATTTTCATCATAGGTACACTTCAACTGTGAGAGACAGAATGTGAAAAAAAAATCCATGAATTCACATTGTTGGATTTTTAAATAACTTATTTGTAAATCATGGTGGAAAATAAGTATTTGGTCACTTCAAACAAGGAAGATCTCTGGCTCTCACAGACCTGTAACTTCTTCTTTAAGAAGCTCTTCTGTCCTCCACCTGTTACCTGTATTAACGGCACCTGTTTGAACTCGTTATCTGTATAAAAGACACCTGTCCACAGCCTCAAACAGTCAGACTCCAAACTCTACTATGGCCAAGACCAAAAAGCTGAAGGACACCAGGAAAAGAATTGTAGACCTGCACCAGACTGGGAAGAGTAAATCTACAATAGGCAAGCAGCTTGGTGTGAACAAATCAACTGTGGGAGCAATTATCAGAAAATGGAAGACATACAAGACCACTGATAATCTCCCTCGATCTGGGGCTCCACGCAAGATCTCATCCCGTGGGGTGAAAATGATCATGAGAACGGGCATCAAAAATCCCAGAACCACACGGGGGGACCTGGTGAATGACCTGCAGAGAGCTGGGACCAAAGTAACAAAGGTTACCATCAGTAACACACTACGACGACAGGGAATCAAATCCTGCAGTGCCAGACGTGTCCCCCTGCTGAAGCCAGTGCATGTCCAGGCCCGTCTGAAGTTTTCCAGAGAGCACATGGATGATACAGCAGAGGATTGGGAGAATGTCATGTGGTCAGATGAAACCAAAGTAGAACTGTTTGGTATAAACTCAACTCGTCGTGTTTGGAGGAAGAAGAATACTGAGTTGCATCCCAAGAACATCATACTGTTACTGTGAAGCATGGGGGTGGAAACGTCATGCTTAGGGGCTGTTTTTCTGCTAAGGGGACAGGACCACTGATCCGTATTCAGGAAAGAATGAATGGGGCCATGTATCGTGAGATTTTGAGCCAAAACCTCCTTCCATCAGTGAGAGCTTTGAAGATGAATCGTGTCTGGGTCTTCCAGCATGACAATGATCCCAAACACGCCGCCCGGGCAACAAAGGAGTGGCTCCGTAAGAAGCATTTGAAAGTCCTGGAGTGGCCTAGCCAGTTTCCAGACCTCAATCCCATTGAAAATCTGTGGAGGGAGTTGAAAGTCCGTGTTGCTTGGCGACAGCCCCAAAACATCACTGCTCTCGAGAAGATCTGCATAGAGGAATGGACCAAAACACCAGCTACTGTGTGTGCAAACCTGGTAAAGACCTATAGTAATCGTTTGACCTCTGTTATTGCCAACAAAGGTTATATTACAAAGTATTGAGTTGAATTTTTGTTATTGACCAAATACTTATCTTCCACAATAATTTACAAATAAATTCTTTAAAAATCCTACAATGTGAATTCCTGGATGTTTTTTTCACATTCTGTCTCTCACAGTTGAAAATTACAGACCTCTGTCATTATTTTAAGTGGGAGAACTTGCACAATTGGTGGCGGACTAAATACTTTTTTGCCCCACTGTAGATGTGTTGTGGGATTTTTAAATTATGCAGGTTTAAAGGTATTTTATTAGAATAATGATGGTAAATCTGGCATTTAAAGTCATTGCCTCCCCAATCACAAACCTCATCGCACATCACTGATCCACAGTAAATATTACTACGGAGCTTTTTTGCCAGACGCTATGAGTTGCAGTCAGAATATTTTGACTTCAAGGTTGAAATATTTTGAGAATAAAGTTGAAGTAGCAATATTATCAGACAATTCATCGTACTGACGTGCTAGATGAACAGAGAGGAACCTCGTCCAGAGTTCATTGAAACTCACGCCTCCCTCTCCGCCACTCTCCCGACATTCAAACAGTATGTCACGTGCCCAACTCGTGGCAATAAGACTCTGGACCTACTGTATGTTAATGTGCGGGACGCATACACCTCCTCCCCCCTCCCCCCTCTTGGACGCTCTGATCACAGCTTGGTCCGTCCGTCTCCGGAATACACACCAGTGGTGAGAAGAAATCCAGCGCAGAAGAGGATTGTAAAAGTGTGGAGCGATGATGTGGATGAGATGCTGAGAGATTGTTTTCAAAACACTGATTGGGAAATGATCTGCAGCTCTCATGGTGAGGACATTGAGAGCCTGACACACTGCATTACAGTCTATATTCTCTTCTGTGTGGATAACACTTGAAGAAGATGACAAAGTCTGGGATTGCGTCTTTAATTCAGACAGAAGACATGTTTTATTGTCGATGGTAGAGACAGCACGAACAAAGCACACGAACACAGATACAACAGAATGCAAGTGTATTATACAGAGCGGAGGCATGGAGACCTCCAATCAGCAGCTTCCACGGTGCCATGTAGCTTGGCCTTCAGATAGACAAAACAAGGGAAAAATACTGGCTTCTGCACATTGATAGAATGATGAGTTTAACTTTAACAAAAGTTGCTTCAAAGTGTTATGAAATCTCACACACTGTACCAACTAAGAAGGTGCGGTGTTTTTCTAACAACCACCCATGGGTGACCCCTGAGCTTAAAGCCCTCCTGAACCTCAAGAAAAGGGCTTTCATCTCAGGGGACAGGGAGGAGCAGAAGAGGATCCAGCACGAGCTCCAGTGGAGGATCAGGAGGGCCAAGAAGGACTATGGGAAAAAGCTGGAGCAGAAGCTGGCCCAGGGAAACGCCTGCGACGTGTGGAGAGACCTAAAGAACATCTCCGGCTTTGGACAGAGTGCCAGAGGGACAGCGGATGGAGACCAGCACCGGGCGGATGAATTTAACCAGTACTTCAACCGGTTTGATCCCTCTCCATCTGCCCCCCTCCCGCCCCCACCTCTTCACACGTCCCCACCTCTTCACACGTCCCCAGCCCAGTGGACACCGCCCAGTGGACACTGCCTCCGGCTGCCCCGGTCCCTCCTGCCCCCCCCCCCCCCCCCCCTCTCCATCACACCGGACCAGGTGAGGAGTCAGCTCCAGCGTCTGAAGCTGAGGAAATCCGCTGGACCGGACGGGATCAGTCCCAGGCTGCTGAGGACCTGTGCAGACCAGCTCTCTGGGGTCCTCAGCTACATGTACAACCTGAGCCTCAGCCTGGAGAAGGTCCCTGTCCTGTGGAAGACCTCCTGTATGATCCCGGTTCCTAAAACAGCACACGCCAAGGAACCGGCTCACTACAGACCAGTCGCACTGACCTGATGAAGACCATGGAGAGGCTCATCCTCACCCATCTCCGCTCCGTGGTCAGCCCCACCCTGGACCCGCTGCAGTTCGCCTACAGACCCAACATCAGAGTAGAGGACGCCGTCATCTACTTCCTGCAGCGGACGCTCTCCCACCTGGAGCCCGCCGGGAGCGCTGTGAGGGTCATGTTTTTCGACTTCTCCAGCGCTTTCAATACCATCAGGCCGGCACTGCTGCAGGGGAAGATGGAGGACGCGGGAGTGGACAGTAGCCTCACTGCATGGACCATCAACTACCTCTCAGACCGACCACAGTACGTGCGGCTGCGCAGCTGTGAGTCTGAGGTGGTAGTCTGCAGAACTGGGGCCCCTCAGGGCACTGTCCTCTCACAGTTTCTCTTCACCATCTACACTTCAGACTTCACACACGACACACACAGCTGTCACCTGCAGAAGTTCTCAGACGACTCCGCCATCGTGGGCTGTGTGTCTGAGGGGAACGAACTGGAATATCGGTCGGTTATCAAGGACTTTGTCGACTGGTGTGAGCGCAACCACTTGTGCTTGAACACCAGTAAGACAAAGGCGATGATCATCGACTTCAGGAGAAAACCACTTTCCCACACGCTGCTGAACATCCAGGGGGAGGACATTGAGCTGGTGGACAGCTTCAAGTACCTGGGTGTTCACATTAACAATAAACTGGACTGGTCCCATAATACAAACGCCCTGCACAAGAAGGGCCAAAGTCGCCTCTTCCTTCTGAGGAGGCTGAGGTCCTTCGGAGTGAGCAGGCCTCTGCTCAGGACTTTTTATGACTCTGTAGTAGCTTCTGCCATTTACTACGCTGCCATGTGCTGGGCCCCAGGCAGCACAGAGCGGGACAGAAACAGACTGAGCAAGCTGGTCAGGAGGGCCAGATCCACTCTGGGCTGCTCCCTGGACTCTGTGGAGGAGATGAGGGACAGGAGGGTGCTAGCCAAAGCCACCTCCATCATGAACAATACCTCCCACCCACTGCACAGGACTGTAGAGGAGCTGAGGAGCTCCTTCAGTGGAAGACTGAGACACCCTCAGTGTAGGAAGGAGCGCTACCGCAAGGCCTTTATCCCCATTGCTGTCAGACTGTACAATAAGTCACTTTAAATGATCACTGTGTGAAAACCTGCACTACTATCGACACTGTTTCCACTTGACACTTGTCACTTTTGTTGTACATAATTATTGTCACTTTTATTGTACATATATATCCTGCATGTAACATGTTTGCACATTTCCCCCTTTTGCACAATCTGAGTGTCTCTATCCATGCTAAATGTGACATGTAAATTACTCCTATGTGAGATAAATAAAGCACATCTTATCTTATCTTATCTTATATGGCTTTATGCTTTCATATACTTGTATATAATAATATAATCTGATGACCGTATGTAACAGTGGTGTTATTGTTGTTATACATTATGTGCGTGTATGCGCGCTATTTTGTCTCAGTCGCAGCTCCTTCACCTGTGGCTGGGACAGAGCATGTACGTGTGGACCGGTTGTGGAACTGATGAAATTATTTGTATGTATATAACAAATTCTTGTACTATGAGAATAAAGTCGTTTTCTTTTCACATTAATGTCAAAATAATGATGACAAGTAATCACAAATGCACAAAGCGCTTCCCCGTTCAGAGTTCAGACAGCCTCTCAATGTAATTACTCTTGTCATTTACGCTGTTGGTGTTCAACGTTATATACCCGCTATCAATATCATCATCAATTCCAACCATTCCACGCATACATATTTAAAAGTGTCAATTGAGGGAGAGTGACCAAAATAAAGGCAAATTTAAAAGAATATATATGTTTTTAATTTCAGAATCAGAATCCTTTTATTGCCATCTGAATCAAGTCACAAACTAAGAAATTGCTCAGGCTCTCCTGCTCCCATATCGTCCGTTCTGTCATAAGTACGATGGAGCTCCATTGTCTCCAGTATAACCGATTCATCTCATAATACTTCGAGAACCATCTCATATTTCAAGATTTTGCTACTTCAACTTTATTGTGATAATATCTTTTGACTTTAATCTCATAGTGTCGGGCAAACAAAAATTGGGTGACCCTTATGCTCTGTCATCCTGGCATTTGTAAAATACAAATGCCAGGGTAATAAAACCATACTTTTACTTTGGTTGTCAAAAGTATTAAATACCAAAACTAGTGTCAAATTACTCATTTGATGTTGAATCAATGCTAAAAAACAATGCCACAAACTGCTGGTAATATATTTTCTATTGTGTGAACACATTCAATTGTTGTCCAAAATACTATTATCACTGTGGTGTCAACATTGTTATTACACGGCTCCTCACAGCAGCAGTAGAATGCTCCATTGATTTGAATGTAATTTCGTTCTACCGGTCATTATTTTCTATAACGGACCTCTCAAAACAATAATGACCGCTGCCCATGGTAACGCACTCTCGGCTTGTCTTTCAGATGCGTGGATAACTCCGCAAGTAGTTCCGGCCTCTCAGGAGCTAGCTACGCTCAATAAACGCAAATGCCAATCAATCAACACACTTAAATGTTAATCGGAGAATACCTATACATATACAATCTTCACAGACATGCACGGAGATTTTCTGAATTTTCTGGTCTTGTCTTAATGACAAAAATACTATTTATCTGCGTTAAAAACCAATCATGAAAAACCCGGAAGTAGTTCCGGCCACTCCGGAGCTAGCCACGCTCATTAAACGCAAATGCCAATCAATCAACGCCATTAAATGTTAATCGGAGAGTACATTATACAAAGATATTATTAATACAAGTGCACGGAAGTTTTCAAAATTTTCCGTTTGCGTTTTCAAGTACCTCGGGGTACTTGACGGGTGCGCGTCGGGGTCCGCTTCGCCCTTTCGGTACTTATTTTCCGATAATGACCTGGGCTCAACACACAGCCCTGGGGTGAGCCTGTGCTCAGTGTTCGAGTGGAGGAGAGGAGGTGAGGACAAAGACGCACAGTCTGAGGCCTGTTGATTAAAAAGTTTTTAATCCAGGCACATGTGATAGATGGAAGACCTAGCGTGCTCAGTTTAGTGGTGAGGATGTCCGGAATGATTGTATTGAACGCCGAGCTGTAGTCCACAAACAGCATGCGGATGTAACTGTGCTGCTGCTCTATATGACTCAGTGCAGAGTGGAGAGCTACAGCGATGGTGTCCTCTGTTGACCCGTTTCCCCGATACTCGAACTGGAAAGGGTCGAAATTGACTGGAAGAAAATCTCTGATGTGCTGTAAGACCAGCCTTTCAAAGCACTTCATGATTACCGGGGGTGAGAGCCACAGGGCGGTAATCATTAAGGCTGGTGATGGGAGACTTCTTTGGGACAGGAAAGATTGTGGCTGATTTCAGGCAGGAGGGGAATGGACGCTTGAGCCAGAGAGAGATTGAAGAGCTTAGTGAAGATGGAGGCAAGCTAGAAATCACTTGCTTTAAGCACCTTGCCCGGTACTCCGTCAGGGCCCGTGGCCTTCCTGGGGTTCACAGCTAGAAGCACCCTTCTAACCTCGTGCTCCTGAACAGTGAGAGGGGGAGTGTCAGAGCGGTGTAAAGGTGGGAGCAGGGCTGGAGTAGCACAGCGACCCATTGATGGTGAGGTCAGGCCAGGAGCAGATAGGGCGGTATCAAAACGAGCAAAGAAGCAATTAAGCTCCTCTGCTAACGTCGCGCTCTGTCCTGTAGCTGTAGCACTGCAGCCTCTATAGTTGGTGATGTTTTGGATGCTCCTCCACATTTCTCTGTGGTTGTTACTGGACATATGGGACTCTGTTCTCTTATGGTCTTTCTTAGCTCTTTTGATTTCCTTCTCCAGGTCAGCTTGAGCGGCACTGTATAGCGCTCTGTCACCAGACCTGATGGCAGCATCACGAGCTTGGAGGAGAGTGCGGACCTGTTTAGACATCCAGGGTTTCTGGTTTGGAAGAACCCAAATGGTTTTGTTCAGTCACATTGCCAATGCAGAACTTGATATAGTCCAGCACTGCCTCTGTGAACATTTCCAGGTCTTGATGTTCAAATAGGTCCCAGTTCGTCTGTTCAAAACAATCCTGTAGTTTGGGGAATGCGTCATAAGGCCAGATTGTGACAGTCTTTATGGCAGGTCTGGCGCTGCGTCGTAGAGGTGTGTAGGCTGGAAAGAGCAGGAGGGACAGATGATCTGATTGCCCCAAGTGTGGGAGGGGAATAGCTCTGTATGCATGCTTATTGTTTGTATAGATATGATCCAAGGTGTTCTCCCCTCTAGTGGGACACTTCACATGTTGGTAAAATTCTGGGAGTACAGTCTTCAATTTGGCTCTGTTGAAGTCACCTGCGATCACGTGAACACCATCCGGGTGAGCGCGCTGTTGCTCAATCACAGTGTTCAGCAGGAGAGAGAGTGCCTTGTTTACATTGCCATCGGGTGGAATATACACGGCAGTTAAAATCACAACAGTTTGCTCTCTTGGTAGAAAATAAGGCCGACATCTAACAGACATGTACTCGAGATCAGGGGAGCAGTGATTGTCTATAATTGTCCCGTTGTTACACCAGTTCTCATTTACATACATGCAGAGCCCGCCCCCTCTGCTCTTACCGGAGTTCTCAGTCCTGTCACAGCGGAGCAGAGTGCGTCCTGCTAGCTGCACACTAGCATCGGCTATCCCTGGGTGAAGCCACAATTCAGTGATGATCAAAACACAGCAGTCCCGTACATCGCGATTCCCCGCAAGCCTTAGCCTTAGCATGACACCGGACCGGCAGCCCCGCTTCTGCTTCCTCTCCCGCCTGCGCTGTCTCCCAGACCCGATAACAATCCACGGAGAGCCCGGCGGTCTGGCTATGTCGATGGGGATGTTGTGTGCGTTATGAAAATCACTCGAAATGCAGATCTGGTGCTGTACACCAATGTCCAAAAGGTTCTGACGGGTGTAGCTGATGCTCGCGGAGCAAATGGTGCTCAGACAGATAAAGCATATGTACAGACATGACAAAAGATAGCACTGGGAGGGAGAGCTGTGAGCCGCTGCACTCGTGCACGCCGCCATGATTCATATAATTCCCCCCCCCCCTGTATTCACAACAGAAAGAAAGACGGAGTGAAGAGCGGTGGTCCAGTTCTACCTCCTCCAGCCCCAACCGCCTCCCTGCTCCCTTCTGCTGCTCTGGAGTCAGATGGATACAAGGGTATGTCACACATGGAGCTATTGTTTTAAGGAGCTTTTAACCATGTGACAATATTGTTCCACATCGACTCAACATTCAACTGCTTTCTCACACAAGTAATATTCATTTTAGATCTGAAACATGATCTCGGGACTTTTTGGCTCTTTATGTTTTAGAGAGTAGAGTATTTGGATAAAAGTATATAATGGAGTGCTAAACACTTCAAGTGTAGATAGGGCTGGGCGATAAAATGATAACTATTTATATCGCGACAAACGTGTGATTATTATGAATAGAAAAATGGGTTGATAGAATGTTTGATCATTTCACTTAAACAGGAAGAAAAGCCAAGACAGAAGCACACAGCCTTCTGGGGGAAGTAGGCAGAGGCTTCTTGACCTATCACGGCCAAGCAAGGCATTGTGGGAAATAAAAAAATAATAAAATGGAAAAACAATGGCTGGCTAACGAGGAGGAATGAGTGTGGCACAGTTTGGCAGCACAAGAGGAAAATTGAAATTGTGGATAAAAAAAAGTAGTGATGGATAAACAATACTGACACTCTTGTGTGTTGCTCTTCCTGAAGCAAACTGGTTTAAAACACTGCATTGAAGATTGTATCAAAACTGCTGGTCATGTGACAAATGTGTCAGTGCAGCCACTGCTTTGCTTTGCGCATCAATTGTGTCAGTGTATTGAAGCGTTTCATTGGCTCAATAGATTTCCCAGCTTTGCATCGGTTCAGAGCGTTAAAGAAGCTGTACTCGATTTATTTTCAAATGAGTTAATAAAAATGCGTATGACTACAAACTTTTCGTGTTAAATGCCGTACTTTAATGAAAACTTGAGCTAATTGATTTAGCTTGTGTATGAATTCAGGCCGTAAAAAGTGCTGAGTAGCATGAGAATAGCTCTCCTCCACTCACAGAACGAGAGGCAGCGCTATTACAAACAGGCTGCCTCCTCTAGCGTCTAAACACAGCAGAATGTTAGCAGAAAGTCGCTATAACTCCTCTGGCTGTATCTGCATACACAGCAAAACAGCACAAACGACTATAACAGTGAGGAAGAAAAGAGGGAAAGCAAAAAAAATTATCAAAGAAGAAATCAACTCGGGTGAACATAGCTAGACCTATGTACTGCACAGGTGGACAAATGCAAGACAAAATAGTATTAATAACCAGAGGGGGGAATGTGAGATTTCATAACACTTTTAAGCAACTTTTGTTAAAGTTAAACTCATCATTCTATCAAAGTGCAGAAGCCTGTACTTTTCCCTTGTTTTGTCTATCTGAAGGCCAAACCTTCGCTAGCTTACATCGTATGCACTAGAGAGACCTGCGGGTACGGGACCGCCTCAGACTACATTTGGACACGAAACTAGTGGTAATCTTTCAGTTATACTGTATATTTTCTTAGCAGTGTGCGTTGCTTCTGTACCATTTCATAAGGGATTGTTGCGCTGATGCTTATGTTTGCATGCGTATTAGATCGCAAATAAAACTAGATGGCTTCGTGGGAGGAGAGCATAGGGGAAATAAGAAGCCTGTGAGCAAGTTAGTGGGGTGGTGCTAAACATTCGAACTGAGAAAAACCTATCAGAAACGGGTATAGCTCCTTTTAAGGGGTGTTCACACCGGACCATGCGTTGCGTCCAGTTTCAATGCAAAGTCAATGACAGTCTATGGTTTCGACGCGCTGCCTTGGTTTGACAGCTTTTACTGGATGGCATAAGCCGCGTTTCCACCGCAGGAGTTCCTGGTAAAAAGAGCGGGATGGAACTTTTACAGGAACCGTCCTCTCCCTCGGTCCTCTCAGTGGCAGTGTCTCGACTGCAGAGTAGGACCCCTCGGCCACGTCATGAGTTTAGACTGCCGCATAAGTGAAACTTATTACGCCAAATCCATTTGTTTATTTTACGGTCGTAACCGCTCCGGTTATTGTGGTCTTTGAGTTTTTTTAATAAAGTTGATGGTGCATTTTATTGATCCCCGTAGGGCAATTCCTCCTCTGCATTTGACCCATCCCGATGCCGCTAAGGCTTACGTCAGGAGCAGTGGTCGCCGTAGAACAGCGCCCAGGAACCCATCTCCAGATGTTGATGCTCGGCTTGGTCAGGACTACTGGAGCTGGAGGATTTAACCTAGTGTGCATGTTTTTAGTGGTAGGGGAAACCGGAGTACCCGGAGGAAATCCTATGCAAGCAAGTTTGCATGTTTTTAGTGGTAGGAGACACCGGAGTACCCAGAGGAAACCTACGCAAGCAGAGGGAGAACAAACTCCACTCAGAAAGACCCCGTCCTGTGCGAACCCAGGACCTTCTTGCTGAGAGGAGAGTGCTATCCACTCAGCCGGCCGGCACGGTTTATAGTCCTGCTTCGGTTTTTTAAAAACTTTTCACGGCTTGTTTAAGAGTGTGATGAATCCCCCAGTGCTTCGAGGTGAAGCTGATATTTCTTAATATATATTTTAATTATGCCTCAAACCCAGTCTGAATCAATGCCATGTTGTTGTTTGCTTTTTTCAGTGGTGTCAGCTAGGCTAATGCTGTTGGATTTTAAAGCCAGTTGTTTTGGGGCTTTCTGCTGGCGTCAGAGCCTGCCCTTGCTTCAGAAATTCAGCGCTGGGTTAATCCCAAGCCCCACCAGGAGCTGTTCAGGGCCCAACGGAGTACCTAGCATGGAGGAGGGACTCCGTTGGGCCCCGTAAAAGTTCCTGTAAAGGGCCCTGTGAGGGAAGTTCCTCCAGTGGAGACACAAACCAAAGGGGCTGGCCCTGAGAAATTACTCCAAAAGTTCCTGCGGTGGAAACATGGCCTAGTGGATAAGCGCTAACTAGCTACAGAATAAATGATGCATCAATATTTATTCACAGTGTTGGGTAGTGAAGAGACAGATAGTTGTACAGTGTTTGATTTCAGCGACTTCAGGTCATAGCAAACAGCCCCGCTGTCACGCGCGTATTCTTTTAAAACTTGAATTTGCAGAGGGCCTACCTGCTCTGATGCTGTGCAGTGATTATACAGTGCCTTGCAAAAGTATTCGGCCCCCTTGAACTTTTCAACATTTTGCCACATTACAGGCTTCAAACATAAAGATATAAAATTTTAATATTTTGTCATGAATCAACAAGTGGGACACAATCGTGAAGTGGAACGAAATTTATTGGATAATTTAAACTTTTTTAACAAATAAACTGAAAAGTGGGGCGTGCAATATTATTCGGCCCCATTACTTTCAGTGCAGCAAACTCACTCCAGAAGTTCAGTGAGGATCTTTGAATGATCCAATGTTGTCCTAAATGACTGATGATGATAAATAGAATGCACCTGTGTGTAATCAAGTCTCCGTATAAATGCACCTGCTCTTTGATAGTCTCAGGGTTCTGTTTAAAGCGCAGAGAGAACCATGAAGACAAAGGAACACACCAGGCAGGTCCGAGATACTGTTGTGGAGAAATTTAAAGCCGGATTTGGATACAAAAAGATTTCCCAAGCTTTAAACATCCCAAGGGGCACTGTGCAAGCAATTATATTGAAATGGAAGGAGCATCAGACCACTGCAAATCTACCAAGACCCGGCTGTCCCTCCAAACTTTCATCTCAAACAAGGAGAAGACTGATCAGAGATGCAGCCAAGAGGCCCATGATCACTCTGGATGAACTGCAGATAACTACAGCTGAGGTGGGAGAGTCCATAGACACTGGACTGCACAAATCTGGCCTTTATGGAAGAGTGGCAAGATAGCGATATCCATAAAAAGGCTTGTTTAAAGTTTGCCACAAGCCACCTGGGAAACACACCAAACATGTGGAAGAAGGTGCTCTGGTCAGATGAAACCAAAATCGAACTTTTTGGCCACAATGCAAAACGATATGTTTGGCGTAAAAGCAACACAACTCATCACCCTGAACACACCATCCCCACTGTCAAACATGGTGGTGGCAGCATCATGGTTTGGGCCTGCTTTTCTTCCGCAGGGACAGGGAAGATGGCTAAAATTGATGGGAAGATGGATGGAGGAAATACAGGACCATTCTGGAAGAAAACCTGTTGGAGTCTGCACAAGACCTGAGACTGGGACGGAGATCTATCTTCCAACAGGACAATGACCCAAAACATAAAGCCAAATCTACAATGGAATGGTTCACAAATAGACGTATCCAGGTGTTAGAATGGCCAAGTCAAAGTCCAGACCTGAATCCAATCGAGAATCTGTGGAAAGAGCTGAAGACTGCTGTTCACAAACGCTCTCCATCCAACCTCACTGAGCTCGAGCTGTTTTGCAAGGCAGAATGGGGACAAATTCCAGTCTCTCGATGTGTAAAACTGATAGACATACCCCAAGCGACTTGCAGCTGTAATTGCAGCAAAAGGTGGCGCTAAAACGTATTAGCGCAAGGGGGCCGAATAATATTGCACGCCCCACTTTACAGTTTTTTATTTGTTGAAAAAGTTTAAATTATCAAATAAATTTCGTTCCACTTCACAATTGTGTCCCACTTGTTGTTGATTCTTGACAAAAAATAATATTTTTATATCTTTATGTTTGAAGCCTGAAATGTGGCAAAATGTTGAAAGGTTCAAGGGGGCTTTCGCAAGGCACTGTATATAGTGATTTCTGCTCGTAGTGTGAACAACATTTATTTGAATATCTCACATAAAAAAGAAAATTAACTGAACTTGAACTAGTTCAGAAAAGTGGTGAACTGGCACAACACTGATCACCAGTTTGGCAGTATTTTGGATATTAAAAACCATGCAGTCTGCAAACTTTGCAAAGTCGTCGTCCCTTCCAAGGCTGGGAAAACTACAAATTGAGGTTTTAAAAAAACAAATCGATAATTATCGATATCGACTGATATGAAACACTTATATCGTGATTAGGGCTGAAACAACTAATCGATTAATCGACGACTAATCGATTATTGAAATAGTCGACAACTATTTTAGTAATCGATTAATCGTTTTCTGGTTCACACGGACTCAAACAGAGCAAAAATGACATGAAAATTTAGTATTTTTGATTAAAACCGACTGTTTTTATAATTTCATGAATATCTGTCGGTCTCATCCAATCAGATAGCAGAATTAGCACAAAGAGCCTGTTACAAACATTTACTTTAAGTTTACGCCATCAATACGTCCTCGAGTGTTGCCACTTTAGCTTTTTGTGATGAAAAAAAAAAAAATTTCTACACAATTCACAGCCAAGCGATTACTCGATTAATCGTAAAAATAATCGATAGATTAATCGATTACAAAATAATCGTTAGTTGCAGCTCTAATCGTGATATAGTTTTCAGCCATATCGCCCAGCCCTAAGTTTAAGTATGGGAAATGAAATGCAGGAATTTTCAAAAACAACAAATATAGCACCATGTAAAGAAATTATTTTATTAGACCTTTTCACAATCTGTAGGTGATACAAAGTTTAAGACACAAGGGGCAGAAAAACGTTTTGGGTTAGAAGTGTGGATGGAGCTTGAAACCACTCCAGGTCTGTTTTGGATGAGGAATAATGTTGAAACGTGGTTAAAAGGTCAAAAAAGGGAATTTGCAAAATGTGTCTCCTTTTAAGTACAGTGACGGTATTCACATTTTGGACTCTTTTTGCTAAAATACGCCGCAGAGCCCAGTAAGTTTCCCACTATGAGCTATGAAGAGAAGAGACAGCTGAGCCTGGATATCAACAAGCTGCCTGGGGACAAGCTGGGCCGTGTGGTGCACATCATCCAGAGCAGAGAGGCCTCCCTGAAGAACACCAACCCTGACGAGATCGAGATCGACTTTGAGGCCCTCAAGCCCTCTACACTGAGGGAGCTGGAGAAGTATGTGTGCTCCTGCCTGCGCAAGAGCAAGAAGCACGCAGGTATAAAACAACTTCTGCTAGGAAGACACCTTTCCGGTCTCTTGAAACGTTCGATACACTTGAATGTGAAAATATATGTAGCTCACCTGGAGCTTCCAAAGTGAAAACGCTTCCCTTGAGCTGATTAATTGATCTATCCCAATGTGAAAAGTAATGACCATGTTGTCTTTATTTACATTTTTCTGCACTAAAGTATGTATGTTATGAATTCAACTTTTAACATGCAGAGTGATGCACATCATATGTAAATGAAAATTACATTTCACACATTTTTGTTTTAATGAGCCAATCATCCACAGTGCAGAATGTGGTCCTGGATGCAATAGCGTGTACAGACTGGGAGATATTTTAAGGAGCCCTGGAGAACAAGGTCTCAGTATACACTGACTACATTAACTTAACCGTACCTAACCACTGTCAATGCACTCAATACACAGATTAAAAATGACAGCTGAAGGCCAAACTCAGGTTTGAGGATAAGTTTTACAGCATGAGCACCAAACATCAAGCTTTTCACTGGCCATACTAGCTGCTCTGGTCACCACATAGCAACAAACCCCACCATCTTTGCTAATTAATTGAACATCATCTACACTCGCTTTGACACTCACAACCATTCTTCCCTCTGTGAAGAGCTCAGTGCTCCATCTCAGCCCCCATTTACGGAGGTGGGTGTACGCCTGCAACTCAGTAGGTGCAAAGTGGCATCCCAGGCAAGGTGCTGAATTTGGGTGCCATGGAGTTGTCACCAGTCCTCTACTCAATCTTCTGGGCCTCAAGGCCTGCACACATTCTCACAGCTTGGAAAACCTCTATAATGATCCCGGTTCATAAGAACCGACACATTGCACTTACTTTCATCATAATGAAGTGGTTTGAATGGCTCATACTCTACTCCATCCTCCCGGTCGCCAACCTGCCCCACCAGTTTGCTTACAGAGCCAGGCGGGCAACAGAGGATGCTGTTGCATGTCTCCTTCAACATCTGGAACTACCTGGAACTATCCTGGTCTTTGATTTCAGCTCAGCATTCAATACGATTCAACATCCACAGAAATGCAGAAATCTTCAACTACTCAACCTGTCTCAGTGACACCATCCAGCCTAGTCACCAACACTGGCGCCCCCAGGGCTGTGTATTAAGTCTTTCTTTACACCCTCTACACAAACGACTGCATCAGCTCTGCTGTAACCACCACAGATTTCAAGTATTCAGACATTCCCATCCATGATTTTATTACTGCCTACCATTTAGTCCATATCTCATTTCATTGAGTGATATTCCACAAACTCTCTGGAGCTGAACACACAAAACCAAGGAACTAGTATTATACTCTCATCCACGCGCTCCAGACCTGGCTCCCTCTATAATACACAACACAATAGCACGGGTTAATCACTTCAAATTAGGGCTGTCAAAATGATTGTTTTAACGCACGTTAATGAATTTTTTTCTTTATTCACGTTTAAAAAATGAACGCATGTGGCGAATTACCCGCCCATGTATCTCATAATAACAGTCAGAATGCTGTGGACACTTGCGTTTGTAAGATGGCGATAGAGCAGGTAGGAATTAAAGTTTAATAAGAACAGGCACATGACCGCAGGGAACTTGCTGTTGTTTACTGTATGAACTCAAATAGGAGTGCGCCTCCCTGTGGCAGCAGCGTTCTGACCCGGGGCAGCTGCGGCCGCTCGGTTCCCGCATTTTGTGTTGCGCTAAAACGTATTAGCGCAAGGGGGCCGAATAATATTGCACGCCCCACTTTTCAGTTTTTTATTTGTTAAAAAAGTTTAAATTATCCAATAAATTTCGTTCCACTTCACGATTGTGTCCCACTTGTTGCTTATTCATGACAAAAAAAAAACTTTTATATCTTTTATCTTTGAAGCCTGAAATGTGGCGAAATGTTGAAAGGTTCAAGGGGGCCGAATACTTTCGCAAGGCACTGTATGTTGGTTATACAACAGAACTCTAGTCCACAGTCTCAGCGTATATCAGGCTCAGCCATGAGCCCAAACTGCTTTTCTTTCGGTTCCTTCAAAGCGCGAAGCAGTCTGTTCCGAAGCGTCCCTGCTCCCTGCAGCCCCTCCATGCTTCCCAGAAAGTAATCGCACGCGGACCAATCACAGTGGAGCTTCTCTGCGGCGCGGCTTGTGTAGTTAGAAATTTTTGAGGGTGCGCGACAGGCTACGTAAGGTCCTTGCGGTGATCCACGCGTTCTGCAAGTCAGGTCACGTCACCATCGTAAGCTCCGCGCCGCGCGACTATACACTAGGCTATAGTCCCTCCAGCGTGTCCTGGGTCTTCCCCGGGGCCTCCCCCCGGTGGGACATGCCCAGAACACCTCCCCAGGGAGGCGTCCAGGAGGCATCCTGAACAGATTCCTCTCGACGTGGAGGAGCAGCGGCCCTATCCGAGTTCCTTACCCTATCTCTAAGGGAGAGCCCAGCCACTCTGCTGAGGAAGCTCATTTCGACCGCTTGTATCCGCAATCTCGTTCTTTCGGTCATTACCCAAAGCTCATGAGCATAGGTGAGGGAGGGAGGGAACAAAGATTGACTGGTTAATCGAGCGCTTTGCCTTTCGGCTCAGCTCACTCTTTACCACGACGGTCCGATACAGCGAGAGTATCACTGCGCACGCTGCACCATTCCGCATGTCAATCCTTCCTCCACTCGTGAACAAGACCCCAGACCTCAACCCCTTTGAAAATCTGTGGAGGAAGTTGAAAGTCCGTGTTGCTCGGCGACAGCCCCAACACATCACTGCTCTCGAAGATCTGCATGGAGGAATGGGGCAAAATACCAGCTACTGTGTGTGCAAACCTGGTAAAGACCTATAGTAATCGTTTGACCTCTGTTATTCTCAACAAAGGTTATATTACAAAGTATTGAGTTGAATTTTTGTTATTGACCAAATACTTATTTTCCACCATAATTTACAAATGAATTCTTCCTACATGTGAATTCCTGGATTTTTTTTTTACATTCTGTCTCTCACAGTTGAAGTGTACCTATGATGGAAATTACAGACCTCTGTCATTATTTTAAGTGGGAGAACTTGCACAATCGGTGGCTGACTAAATACTTTTTTGCCCCACTGTATATAGTCATTGTTACGTCACAAATGGAAAGACACACGTGTCACATTCAGAGACAGAGCATATTATAGTCATAACATGGATACACAATCAGTCCTTGTAGAGTCTTGCGTTTGTCCACCTGGTAGGTCATATAGCTATCTAATCCTCATATCTAACCTCAGCTTTCATTACAATCACGGACTTCTGTTTCACAGGAAAAAAATGGCCTAACCTTTCTTGAAACTAAATAATCATAGGCCTTTTTCTAGCTTGAAGGGTCTATGAATTAAGAATAAATGTTTCCCAGACAGGTGAGTCTGACCAACGTTTGTCGTCATCCTAGGTCTCATATGGGCATTGGATTTGTTCAGCTCAGTCTCCTATACTTTTTTAAGCTTATCTTTATATCTTCTCAGATCTTCTTGTGTTAAAGTGCTTGTATATAGTGCATTTCGTCCACTGAGACTTAAAAGTACTCGTCGTATCCATGCTTTTGTATGTGCCACTTTGTCTAGCTGCCCAGCGAGTAGTGCATGCGCACGCAGATGTAAACAAAGATCCTCCTATTGTATTGTTGTAATTTCCGTATTCTGTGTTCTATATATGTGGCTGTGTGTGGACAATAAAGGCCAATCTATCTTTTTAGATATCTCTTATGTGTCATTTTTATTAGAATTATACTAATTAAGAGCATTTAAAGCATATGTTATGTTTGCGTTTCACAGGGGGTCTCATATTTTCTTCAGGTGTAACATCCTGTGGGCACCATCGGGATGCAAATATACATGAATATGAAATGTGAATCGCATTCATGACGTTTGTGCATTGTGGTACAATGCCTTGTTGCACCCCCACTTTTGATTGTTATTTGAGTTGACAAACAGACCACAAAGTGACATGACTCCAGTATGTGCTTGTGCTCACAGAGGGAAAGGAGATGAAGATGGGCTCCTCATCTTCAGACGACAGTGAAGCCTCCGCCCCTGAAGACACTGGTATGACAAACATGTTTTTGATTAGTGTTAAAGCCACCTTGTGTAATTTTTAGTTTTTGTTGTTTTTTTTAACAGTAATTTGCCATATGAACAATTAAATGGTAATGTAACCATTTTAGAATATTTACTTCCACCATGTTTTTTAATTGTGATCATAGGCTTGGAATTTAACTTATAAATGTCCATGAGAGCAGAGAACTATCCAAATCATTGCGCCATCTTGAAATACAGCGGTGGATAAGGGACAAAAAGGATGCGAGATTTGAACTTTTTATCATGTGAAGTAGTATGTAAATCGCCATTGACCCAGTTTCAACCAATCAGAGCGCCGGATTCCTTGGACATGACGTCAGTTTGGGCTGGGACAACGCATCAACGTAATCAATGATGTTGATACAAAATATGCGCGTCGATTCGTCATACTCAAAACAAAGATGGCAGCGAGTAGTAGCAGTAGTATGCGAGTGCCGTCTCATGGGGCGTTCAGACCGCCAATGCTGGAACGCAGATTCCATGTGCAATAGACGCACATTCTCTAAATTACAGAGGCTTGGGGTGTTCAGACCAGATCAGTCCTGGGCTAGCAGAGTTAAGCTAGCGGAGTTAAGCTAGCGGCTTTTTGTGTAAAGTTCTTCTCCAATAATGCAGCTCTGCAGTGTCTCTGTGTCCAGAGACCTTCCAGAGACTTTATATAACAGCATTATGTGTTCACGGAGGTGCGCCATACGTTTATTTTATTATTAGACGGTACTTCCGCATTGGCGAACATGCTAGCTGCGCCAGTTTAGTCACTGGAGAATGACAACTCGGGCCGGAGGAAATTTTCACAAGCACACACAGGGCCTCATTCACGAATAACTTCTTAAGAAACTTCTTACATTTCTTAAGTTGTTCTTAAGTAGATTTCTACGAAGACCCTACGTGGGGTTCATCAACGCGCTCGTAAGGCGCTGAATTTTTTGCAGCTGTTCTTAGATTGATGAATGCCAACTCCTCGTAAGTAGAGCGCGCGTGCCAGGTGATTCATTAGTGTTACTCCCTCTGAGTTTATAAAGGCTCAAAATCGTTCTTAAGTTTTAAACAGACATTTATTTCGTCCAGAGGAGAAATGCCAACATGACGAGAATGCCGTCAGAACTGAAAGGAACATAAAAAATGTACATTAACGCTTAAAGACGGCACTTACACCTATAACACAGAGCAATGGAGACCAAGACATACCTCATTGGCCGCTTTACTCAACAGGGAAATAAAACACAAAAAAGGACTTTCAAAGGGTTTCTTTTCTGATACCCGACATCTTCCATGCGTGGACCGAGCGAAGCACCTTGTGGCTTGTGAGGAAATGAAATACAACAAAAAAAGGGGGTGTGTCCAGATAACCATTCCCAAAAACCTAGTTCCATAAAACAAAAGGTTCCTAGTGTCCAAAAATCAGCAAAAAATATGAAATAACTCTAAATAGCACTTTTAACTATTTATAATATTTGTAACTCTTAAGTAAAATTATTGAAACATTAAATAAAATAAATGAGAGTTGCCTCTGCAGCTACAATTAGCATAGATAACTGCCCATTAATGCCCATATAAGGGACTGCAGGGCCGTGTGCAAACACCAGAGGAAACAGCAACATGCCTAATGCAGAGAGTTACACGGAGCAAAAAAGTCACCCTTTTTCCTTCTTTTGCCAAACTGAGAATAATGTCAAAACATGTTGACTTTAAAGTCAAAATATTATGAGAATAAAGACAAATCTAGCAAAATTATGCAATTAATCTAAAAATGTTATGAGATTAATTTAAAAATATATTATGTATTAATTTTAAAATGAATCTCATCGGGGTCCGCGCTGACCCTCTGCTCTGGTCTCTCCCATGGATCTATACGGGTCCGCGCTGGTCTCTCCCATTGATCCATTACAGGACTGCGCTGGTCTCTCCCATTGATCCATTACAGGACTGCGCTGGTCTCTCCAGTTTATATGCGGTCTCTCTTCGGTCTGCGCTGGTCTCTGCGAGCCGGTCTCTCCAGTCTATAGTCTCTCCAGTCAATGCGGTCTATCCTCAGTCCGCGCTGGTCTCTGCGCGCCAGTCTTCCCAGTCTATGGTCTCTCCAGTCTACGGTCTCTCCTTGGTCCGCGCTGGTTTCTGTATGCTGGTCTTTCCAGTCTATGTCCCTCCCCGGGTTTACATTGGTCTCACATGCTGGATCTCCTCCCAGGGTCCAAAATATTTTGAAATGCGTTTCATTATTTTGAAACGCATCAACAAAACCAAAGTAGAACTGTTTGGTATAAACTCAACTCGTCGTGTTTGGATACTGAGTTGCATCCCAAGAACACCATACCTACTGTGAAGCATGGGGGTGGAAACGTCATGCTTTGGGGCTGTTTTTCTGCTAAGGGGACAGGACGACTGATCTGTGCTAAGGAAAGAATGAATGGGGCCATGTATCGTGAGATTTTGAGCCAAAACCGCCTTCCATCAGTGAGAGCTTTGAAGATGAAACGTGGCTGGGTCTTCCAGCATGACAATGATCCCAAACACACTGCCCGGGTATCGAAGGACTTCACAAAAGAATACAACACTAGCGTGTGAACATGTCGGCACTGAATGCGTAAGAGTGCTCCTGAGCACTCGTAGGATTTGTTACTTAGCCAAAAGAAATTCTGGTTACGAGAAAAGTAGGATTTACGCACAAATTTGTTCTTAAGAACCGTTCGTGAATGAGGCCCAGTGTTCTTAAGGGGAATTGAAAGTGTCCGACTCTAAGTTACAGTGCCTTGCGAAAGTATTCGGCTCCTTGAACAGTATTTATCCAATCAAGATTGCGCCTCGTACGGTCGACACGGCTCTTTGCTGCTCTCTTTTTCTTTTGTTTTTACTTTTTAACTGTGCATCTGGCTGTTCCTTCCCCCCTTGAGGAACGTATGAACATCCGACCCACCGTTCCCATGGACCTATTGCCTGTTTTCTTGGCATCTGCGGCTGATTTAGTCCATGTTCTAGCCAAAAAAGTGTGGGCCCGTAAAAGGGGAAAGCGCGGAGGCCTGCTCGTGCGTCTTAGGAGGAGACCCCTCTCACCCTGCACATGGACTATTCCAACCATTCCACTCAGACAGGAGACTGCGGTCCATCAGGACTAGAACCTCCCGCCACAATATTATTCGGCCCCCTTGCGCTAATACTTTGTAGCGCCACCTTTTGCTGCAATTACAGCTGCAAGTCGCTTTGGGTATGTCTCTATCAGTTTTGCACATCCAGAGATTGGAATTCTTTCCCATTCTTCCTTGCAAAACAGTTTATGAACAGCAATCTTCAGCTCTTTCCACAGATTCTCGATTGGATTCAGGTCTGGACTTTGACTTAGCCATTCTAACACCTGGATACGTCTATTTGTGAACCATTCCATTGTAGATTTGGCTTTATGTTTTGGATCATTGTCCTGTTGGAAGATAAATCTCCGTCCCAGTCTCTGCCACCACCATGTTTGACAGTGGGGATGGTGTGTTCAGGGTCATGAGTTGTGTTGCTTTTACGCCAAACATATCGTTTTGCATTGTGGCCAAATAGTTCGATTTTGGTTTCAACTGACCAGAACACCTTCTTCCACATGTTTGGTGTGTTTCCCAGGTGGCTTGTGGCAAACTTTAAACGAGACTTTTTATGGATATCTTTGAGAAATGGCTTTATTCTTGCTTCTCTACTCTTCCATAAAGGCCAGATTTGTGCAGTGCACGACTGATTGTTGTCCTATGGACAGACTCTCCCACCTCAGCTGTAGTTATCTTGCACAGTGCTCCTTGAGATGTTTAAAGCTTGGGAAATCTTTTTGTATCCAAATCTGGCTTTAAACTTCTCCACAACAGTATCTCGGACCTGCCTGGTGTGTTCTTTTGTCTTCATGGTTCTGCGCTTTAAACAGAACCCTGAGACTATCAAAGAGCAGGTGCATTTATACGGAGACTTGATAACACACAGGTGCATTCTATTTATCATCATCAGTCATTTAAGACAACATTGGATCATTCAAAGATCCTCACTGAACTTCTGGAGTGAGTTTGCTGCACTGAAAGTAAAGGGGCCGAATAATATTGCATGCCCCACTTTTTTTTTGTTCGTTCCACTTCACGATTGTGTCCCACTTGTTGTTGATTCATGACAAAAAAATTAAATGTTATATCTTTATGTTTGAAGCCTGAAATATGGCGAAATGTTGAAAGGTTCAAGGGGGCCGAATACTTTCACCTGGCACTGTATTTGTTATTTGTGAATGAAGATGATTTTTCAGTAAGCTAGGTCTATGTTCAACATAGCTGTTGAATTCTAAATGTTTATTTTCATTATTTTTTGCTAGAAAAGCACTCTTTAGCTTAAAGCCCTCAAGTTTACATTGGTTACTATATTCTTTTTTTTATTCTATTGAATGCTAAACATCAAGTGTTATTTTCATCTGAAAGAAGAATAATAAGATGCACTTTTTTCAGTTAGCTAGATGTGTTTTCAAGGCTCAAGGTTTTATGCAACCTCTGACTAAGAATCTTATTTTTTAATTTTAAGAGCAATAAATATATTTTGTTTTTTCATGTTTTTTCAATCAAATATGTAAATCAACACATAAAACACAAAGTATACATTGATATTAGTCAATTAATGGGGAGATAATCAAATCAAAATCAAATTGAACTGAAAAAAATATTTGTTAGATTTATCGATGCATCAAAAAAATAATCACTAGATTAATTGTTTAAAAAATAATCATTTATCCCAGCCCTAACGTCAGTGAGTTGGTGTGTTTTTCTTAACAAAGATGGCAGCCCCGGGTTGCAAGAGGCAACCAGGGTTTCCTCCGGGTGCTCTGGTTTCCTCCAGGTGCTCCTGTTTCCCCTGGGTGCTCTGGTTTCCTCCAGGTGCTCCTGTTTCCCCTGGGTGCTCCTGTTTCCCCTACCACTAAAAACATGTAGAATAGGTCTGGCATGTGATGGGAGCGAGCTCTAGGTGACCTCACTCCCATCTATGTTTGGAGGGAGAAACAAATGCCCAGAAATAATGATTGTAAAGCTCTTTCTGACTCTGGTCTGAGGCGCTATATAAATAATAAATTAAATAAATTCAAGAGATGCGGCAACTGGTACAAGACGAGATCCGTGCATAGGTGGAGGAAGAACGTCGCAGGATGGTCAGCATGTCCAAGCAAGGGGCGTGGGCAAGGTGGGAACACACAGAACCTCTGCGCACAAAATTCCTCATACAGTCTGTATGATGTTCTTCCAAGTCTGGCCAACCTACACACCTGGGGCCTGGCAGACACCCTTGGAGCACATACTGAGCGGTTGCCTCAAAGCTTGAGGGGATGGGCGGTATCGTGAGGTGTATTTAATTAATCTTGCAGCACTTAGTAAGTAAGTAATCTTTATTTATATACCGCCTTTCACAGACCATAGTCACAAAGCGGTTTACAAATGTTATTTTTTGGGCATTTGTCCTCTCACTCCACATAGAGATGGGAGCGGGGTCGCCAGTACAGGAGGCGCATGCCAGACCTATTGTACATATTTTTAGTGGTAGGGGAAACCGGAGTACCCGGAAGAAACCTACGCAGACACGGGGAGAACATGCAAACTCCCCTCAGAAAGGCCCTGGTCCGACCGGGAATCGAACCCACTTTGGACAGAGTTTGTTGTGAATGTGCTATAGAAATAAACTTGACTTTGACATGAATAAATAGTCAAAGGCAGTATAATGTAAATAATGACTAGTGTTGGATTGCTGTACATGTCTACATATATAAGCCCAATATGAAATTAATATGATTATATATACGTGACAATGATGGATTAATATAAATGGTCATAATAGTATTGTAGTTTTCATTGTCCTCGAGAGAAATCCAGGCATTCTGTTGAGGTAGTACTGGGAACATAAAATGGAAATAAATTTTAAACATATTTGTTCTAGCTCCTGTTTTTAACCAGTTCTCACACACACAAAATTCCTACTGAAATTATTGTCTATGTATGTACAGGGCATACATATTTTCCTTCGTTGTGTAAATAGTCAACTATGTTACTTTACAATATTTAGATCTAGAATTACATTACATTTTTCAGTACTTATTATTCATTTCAATTCATAGTATTTATTTGTGATATCATCTTTGAGCTATTTGAAGGAAAGTCAACAATCATTAGACATAAAATCAGTTTATGGTAGTTTTTCCAGTTTAGTTCCCAAATTTGAATGTCATAGTTTTTCATAATAATTTTGGATATTCAAATATTTCTTCAATAATAGTAATATTCCAGGAATACATAATTTTTGGTGTGATCTCTATGGCCAAGTACTTTGGTTTTTGAAGAAATAGGTATTTCTGCAATTAGAAACCTCCTAACATGGTACATCAGGCTGAAAATTCCAAATTTCGATCAAAACCACAACTTTGACAACAGCATTAACATAAAGCCAAAAAAGTATTTCCCACAATCCTGGAACGAAAGTCAAATTCTAGACCTCTTTCATGAACTAGCACATGGCCTACTAACCATGCTTTAAACTTCTCCATAACCAATAGAGACCAATAAACTTGAAACAATGACTGCTCTTCAGCAGTGGTTAGCGCTTGTGCTTCATAGCAAGAAGTCAGGAGCGTAGAGGAAAAAGGCCCACAACAATTGTAAAGCGCCTTTTGACTTGGTGTCGGTGAAAGACTCTATCATAATAAAGATGAGTTACTTACGACTTACCAAACTCGGATAGATGCTTTATTGATCTCCGTAGGATAAATACAGGTGTCCAGCAGCAGAAACACATCCATACAAACAAATAAATACATAATTCTAAAGGTTACTATCAACAGTATTGTAACAGCACTTCAGGGAGTGGATCAGGATAGGTCACACAGTAGCAGAGGTAGTGCAGCTGCTGGGTGGATCAAGACAGGTCACAGCAGCAGAGGTGGTGTAGCTGCGGGATGGAGCAGGACAGGTCAGTGCAGCAGAGGTGAAACAGCCGATCACTGAAATAAGTTTGTGTGTCTGCATCAGGGCCGGTTCCTAAACACAAGATGACCTCCAGGATCAAAGATGTGAAACGGACACATGGGCAGCCTGCAGGTACAACGGTGGTAGTCCAGTCCAGACCTGCTCAGGAGCCACAGACCCATAACCCTGTGTATGACCCGCTCACCCACTTCATGAACCCACAGCTAAACCAGGCCAGCAATCAGCCTGCTGTCCCCCATGCCATGGGACTGGTGAGCCAGGTGCCCACTCACACAGGCCCTGTCCACCCACTTGCGCCACTCCCATCCTGTCCAGGTACTACTTTTTGCGGTCATAGTGTGAGAATTTGTCATGGTGTAACTAGTTAGTTAATTAGGAATTAGTTCCTGAAATCTGCTGATATTTGCTTTGTTAAGAAACGGTTTGTTTCGCTGTGTAATATATGACAAGCTACACAGTAGTTTTACAGTCAGTTAAAATAGAAATAAAACATTTCAATATCTGACTTAAATTTTTTAATGAGATATTTATTTACCTGAACTCATTCCTCCCTCACAACACTTACAATACATTCACCAACACTGAATGTATTGTGAGTGTCGAGTCGTTGGGTTTCTCTTTTCTGACTAGGCACCTCTCTCCCCACAGCCATCCACACTGCTCTTCCTCAGCAGCCCTCCAGACCTAGCAGTCGAGCCACTCCTCTGCCTGCTAAAGTCGCGTGTGTTGCCCTGAGCCTGGCCCAGTCTCAGCCTCAGCCCCTTGTGCCCTCGCCTCCCTCACACATCCTGGCCACTCTATCCACTCAGCCCCCTCAGGCTCTGCTTGAGGACGATGAAGAAACTCCTCCCATTAGCCAAGTGCACAGCTTCCTCCAGACGCTGCATAATCGGGGGCCCCATACACACTCACCACAGCAAGGGCCCCTCAATCCTGTGCTCAACCAAAGACACACCCAGTCCCTTGGACTGATGCCCAGCTGTCAACCTGTGCTCAATGGGCCGGACCACCACAGAGGCGCTTCTATTGAGCCTTCTGTGGCCCATGCTCCTAGCAAAGCTGAACTCTACTCTACAGCTGCAGCAGGTAAACACACGCAAGCAGCAGCTACTTTAACTACACTCACACATGCACAAGCAACAAGTAAGTAAGTAATCTTTATTTATATACCGCCTTTCACAGACCAGAGTCACAAAGCGGTTTACAATTGTTATTTTTTTGGGCATTTGTCCTCTCACTCCACACAGAGATGGGAGAGGGGTCGCCAGTACAGGAGGCGCATGTTTTTAGTGGTAGGGGAAACCGGAGTACCCGGAGGAAACCTACGCAGACACGGGGAGAACATGCAAACTCCACTCAGAAAGGCCCTGGTCCGACCGGGATTCGAACCCAGCATCTTCTTGCTGAGAGGCGAGAGTGCTATCAACTCAGCCACCCAACAAGTTACCCTAACACACGCACATGCACACACACACGCACGTACATAGCAGCTAACTACTCACTAAATATGTGTTTCAAACTTGAGGCCACTGAGGATCCCACTTTGAGAAGCACTTTTTGGTCATATTTGATAGCCATTTCACAAATATTGTAACGCATCGTTAATCTATGTGAAGATTATCTGACATATGGAGGAAGCTGATGTTGGGGCAGTCTGTCTTGCAACAAATCCATACAGACCAATTTCTTTCTGTGTTTTCCTCAAATTCCTGGACAGAAAGTAATTTTGTTTTGACGCATGATGAATGTGTCCACTGTGTTTTATAGGCTCATCTCCGCTCACGCACTCACCTCGCTTCCACACAGCAGAGCAGCGGTCACCGGCACACTCAAACAGAAACGTAAGTTGCCCATTCTTCTCTTTCCAACATTGTCATAGTCTATCCCGCTGACCACTGACATGTTGTAGGAGCCGAGGGCCAGTGGCCCAAGCATCAAAGAGGAGAGAGCTTCCCATTCCCCAGTTCTGTCTGCGTCTGCCTACAGCCCCAAGCACAGTAAGCTCCCAAAGACACACACTGCTTAGCGATGTGGCTAGACTGAATACACTTAAGGTCAACCCTCCCCTGCTTGTTCCAGGGGCAGACTTCCCTCAGCTCCCCGCATCATTCCCAGACTCGCCAGGACTACAGCATGAGCGCATCAAACAGGAGGGCAAACCAGGCCTCTCCTCCAAGAAGACCCCGGTGTGTATCAGGCATTAAAACAGCAGCCATTAGTGCATTATACACATTAGCAGCGGTGGCAAGTTAGTATTTTTTATTAAAGCTGGACTACCTCACTTTATTTTTGTATTCATTAGGGAAATTCAATCCATGCAGTGCATTGGGATATACGTCTAATTTTATTTTAGATTGAGTTTTTGTGCAACACGTAAGAGAATTTGTTTCAGGACCAGATTGGGACCAATCACAGCGGACCACTGGCCCCCACTTTCTTGAGAAAATCTACAGGTCTCTCGCTAGTGTGCAGACAGCTGAGGTAAACGAGCATCAGGGCGGAGGCAAACCTGAAACTTCCCGTGTCTTCCTTACCGGTTACTGCTTACACAGCAAAACAGCCAAAAGAAAGTCTCGTCCTCCGCGCTTCCTGGTTCTATTGAAGAAGATGACAAAGTCTGGGATCGCGTCTTTAATTCAGACAGAAGACATGTTTTATTGACAGTAGCTCAGTTGGTAGAGCATTGGCCTTAAGGCCAGAAGGTCGTGGGTTCATTTCCCACCTCTGCACCTTCTCCACCGACTCCCACTGATGACTGCTGTCGTTGTGTCCTTGGGCAAGACACTTAACCCCACTTTGCCCAAAGCCCCCACTGAAAGATCAAGGCTATGCTCACACTCAGAGAGCAGCCGTCCTCCTGTGGACTCACCACCTGCAGAGGGTCAGTGAGGGGCTGGTGCTATGAGACTTGGGTGGCATCTCTGATTGCCACCCCCCTGACCCAGAAATGGATTAAAAGGTAGAAAATGGATGGATGGATGGATGGATGGACATGTTTTATTGTCGATGGTAGAGACAGCACGAACAACACGAACAACGTATATGTGTATTATACAGAGCGGAGGCATGGAGACCTCCAATCAGCAGCTGTGTGCTTGTAGCTTGGCCTTCAGATAGACAAAACAAGGGAAAAGTACTGGCTTCTGCACATTGATAGAATGATGAGTTTAACTTTAACAAAAGTTGCTTAAAAGTGTTATGAAATCTCACACTATCATTTAAGCTTTAAGGTAGCATACTTACCTTATGCAAACCAGCGCTCCCATGGCAACCAGCACTTCGTTCTCACGGAGAGGAATGAAGCGGGTAGACCAGGCGAGGGTCTCACAGCAATTGGTCCAGAGTTCTGGCCCCGTTGCCATGGCAACCAGTGCTCCCGTGTCTTCCTTACCGGTTACTGCTTACACAGCAAAACAGCCAAAAGAAAGTCTCGTCCTCCGCGCTTCCTGGTTCTATCATTCTATGGTCACGCCATCCACGTTCAAATGTGTGATCCATATTGCGAGTGCGGGGAGGGGAACAGAAAGAGCAAGGGCAATGCTTACGTTTGAAACTGCTGCTTCGAAATCACAAAGTGAGTTAGTCCAGCTTTAAGGTAGCATACTTAACTTTTATACCTGCCTGTACTTTATATCCATTACTTTTCAGAAAAATGCTGATTTACAGATGAAGACAATCTCAAATAATTGTGATGCATGCTTCTATATATATATATTTTTTGAATGTATTGAATTTTTTGAATATATATTTTATTGTGGTTAAGTTTCTATAACTGCTTTGTCAGTATAGAACACAACATGAATTATTTTGTCATACTGTTAATAATTCCACAAATATTTAGTACTTTTTTACTCTGTAATTTTTCCAGTCGCTCCAAAATGAAAAACCATGTGAACCACTTAGAATTTAACTTATAAACTTACATGAGAGCTGGAGGACTCTATGTCAATGCGCCATCTTGAAATACAGTGATTGATGAGGGACAAAAAGGACGCGAGAATCGCGTTTTTGTTTCACAGGTGCTACTAATATCGTTGCTTCCACTGTGCCCTCACAAGTTTGAAGAAGGAACCATACCCAATCAAGAATGTTTTAGAGAAAGAATTATGCAAACCAGCGCTCCCATGGCAACCAGCACTTCGTCCTCTCGGAGAGGAATGAAGCGGGAAGACCAGGCGAGGGTCTCACAGCGATTGGGCCAGAGTTCTGGCCCCGTTGCCATGGCAACCAGCGCTCCCATGGCAACCAGCGCTCCCATGGCAACCAGCGCTCGCTTGGCAACCAGCATTTTGTCCTCTCGGATAGGAATGAAGCGGGAAAACCAGGCGAGAGTCTCACAGCGATTGGTCCAGAACTCTGGCCCCGTTGCCATGGCAACCAGTGTTTTGTCCTCTCGGAGAAGAGGGGCCCGCGACCTTCTCTGTCTCACGCAGCATATACACATCTGCCCTTTTGACCCCCCCCCTCCTCTGGGAGCACCAGGAGAGGGCGGGCTCGAGTCTTATTGGATCTGGAGAGAGCAGGGACTGCTCACAAACGCATGGTTAGAGAAAACCTTGCACAGAGGGTATGCCCTGCAATTTGCACGAAGGCCACCACCGTTCCAGGGCGTTTGAGTGGTGCACTCCCGGGTGCGGGGGTCAAAGGAGGCGCTCCAGCTGGAGATCTCTCTGCTGAGACTAGGCGCCGCGGTTGAAGTTGACCCGCGAGACGCCTCCAGGGGGCTGTACTCCCCATACTTCTTGGTCCCCAAGAAGACAGGGGGAGTGCTCCCCATCTTGGACCTGCGCACGTTAAACGAGTATTGCCGTCTCCCGTTCGGGTACGCGCTGGCTCCCCGCCCCTTCTCCAAGTGGGTCGAGGCTGCTCTGGAGCCACTCAGACGCGCAGGGGTCAGGATTTTCACCTACATAGACGATTGGTTCATTCTGGCTTCGTCCAAGGAGGTGGCCACGAGTCACACTCTCTGTCCCACATTCAGCGTCTGGGCTTTGTGGTGAACAGGGAGAAGAGCAGGCTGCAGCCTGCATAGCGTATGCTCGGCGATCTGCAGCTGGACTCGGTGGGGTTCCAAAACTGTACTGTCTGAGGACAGGCGAGGGAACATCACCCGCCTGGCCAGGGAGGCGTTGACTACCCCCAGAGTCCCCACGTGGAGCCTCAGGATGCTCCTGGGGATGATGGCGGCGGCCAACAGGGTGGTTTGGCTGGGCCTTCTTCACATCAAAGGGTTTCGGAGGTGGCTCTCCCGTCTCAGGGACAAGTCGGGCCTGGCCCCGCGGGTGGCTGCAGAGATCTGGCTGAGATTTGGTCAAAATGGATTAAATTCATTTTTTTTTCCTTCAAATTTTACACATAAAGCCCCATAATGACAACGTGAAAACAATTCTTTTGGAGATTTTTGCAAATGTATTACAGGATTGTCTCGAGGCACAAGTCTGGGGAAGGGTACAGAAAAATGTCTGCTGCTTTGAAGTTCCCAATGAGCACAGTGTCCTCCATCATCCGTAAATGGAAGAACTTTGGAACCACCAGGACTCTTCCTAGAGCTGGCCGGCCATCTATACTGAGCGATCGGGGGAGAAGGGCCTTAGTGAGGGAGCTGACTAAGAACCCGATGGTCACTTTGTCAGAGCTCCAGCGTTCCTCTGTAGAGAGAGGAGAACCTTCCAAAAGGACAACCATCTCTGCAGCAATCCACAAATCACGCCTGTGTGGTAGAGTGGCTAGACGGAAACTGCTCCTTAGTAAAAGGCACATGGCAGCCCGCCTGGAGTATGCCAAAAGGCACCTGAAGGACTGTTATGTTTGTCTCTTACATAACTTTTAAGAAGAACATACAGAAACTCCGGTGACTTCAGTAACGTCTTTACTTGACAGGTGTCATTCAAAGTACAAGATATCAGTACGCTACCCGCGTACTCGTTACATATGCGCTGTGTGTATACTCGAGAGAAAGTAGTCCCTACTGTTGTAATCAATACATAACAATTCCTCCCTTCCAGCTTTTATGCTCTTATCAAACAAAAATCAAAAGTAAGATAAATGGTTACTTGAATAACAACTTGAATAACAACTTCAATAACAAATGCACATTTAAATGCATAACATTTTTGTTTTGTTACAACACTTGGTTTATACAACACTTTTAGTCTATGAACCAAGTCTGTCAGGAGGTTTGCGGTGCCTCTCAGGATATCTGCGTCCCGGAGGATCAGACAGGTTTGTGACAGGTCTGGGACAGTCAATAGTTTCTGGTGTGGAGTTGGTTTCCACTGTCATGTCTGCTGGTAGTGTACTGTCCTTTTGACTTGGGACAGTTGGTGTCACTGGTGGGTTTGCGTCTTTTCCAGGTGATGCATCCAAAAGTTGTCGATATGTCTGCGCCAGACGACATTAGGTTCCACACCTACAGTGTAAGAGAGTGGTCCAGTTTGTGACAAAATCTCAGCATGATGCCACTTGTCACTTTGGTTGCGATAGTCTCTAGCCAGCACTTTTTGTCCAATATAAAATGATCGTAGTTTTCGTTGTTGTTGAGTGGAAGAACTTTGTTTGTTTGTAACGTGTTGACGGAGGTCAGGTTTTAATAGATCCAAACGAGACCTTAAGTTTCTTCCCATAAACAACCTTGCAGGTGATTGTCCAGTTGTTGTGTGTGACGTGTTTCGGTATGCCAGTAGAAAGTTGGCAATTTTCCGCTGCAGCGGCACTTCCTCTTTCCTACTTGCTTTCATGGACTGTTTAAAAGTCTGTACAAAACGCTCAGCCAGTCCATTGGTTGCTGGATGGTGAGGAGCAGAAGTGATGTGTTTTATTCCATTGTTTTTCAGGAACATTTGAAACTCTTCACTGGTAAACTGTGTTCCATTATCGCTGACCAGTTGAAGCGGGTAATCAGTACGTGCAAAAAGCATTTGCAGTTGGGCCACTGTTTTAGTTGTAGTTGCCTTGTTTACTATAAAAACTTCAGGACATTTTGAGTGTGCATCAACCACAATAAGGAACATGTGTTCCATAAAGGGTACAGCATAGTCCACATGTAGGCGTTGCCATGGAGCTGTTGGCCATTCCCAAGTGTGGACAGGAGCAAGCTGAGGTTGTCGCTGGGTTTGTTGGCAACCTGTGCATGTTTTCACAAGAGTCTCTATTTGGTTATCAAGGCCAGGCCACCACACATAACTTC